CAGCTGTGTCTATGGTGGGAAAACTTCTGTGCTGGAGACACCCTTATGGGCCAAGACTTGCTTCAGTGGGGCTTTGGTTCTCACTGAGTCTGCCCCCTCAGTGTGTCCCTTATGGATCTGAGGAGTTGTAATCTGGATTGTCCCACTCTGACCACTGGGTACACTGGCACTTGGATCTCTAAGGAGGTGCTAATTTAGCCTCTGCCTGAGGCTACCCAGCAGGAGCTACGGAGAGATCTGCAGATTCCTCTTCTTTGTATGGGATTTGGAGGTGCCCAGATGAGGCCCAGCTGTGAAGCAGTGCAAGCTACTGTGGGGCCTTGGGTCTTCTTTTGGATGTTCTGGGTCTCTCTGACCCAGCTGTAGTTTGTTAGGTAATTTTAGATAGCAAAGGGCCAGGTCATTCATATGCAAAAGCTTCTGCGCACAGGTTGGGTGGGGCGGGGTCTCAGGGAATTAACAGGGCGGAGCAAACAGCTATGGCTGATCCTCAGCCCTGACCTAAGAGGCCCCGTGTCTCAGTGTCCCGGTAATTGCTGCAAGCACCTCTGAGGGAAAGCCGCCCTCAAGTTTTGCCCGATGCCAGACAGTCCAGTTTCTCCCCGTATGAGTCTGGGTCCCCAGAGACTCGTCCGGAACTGGAGTTCAGAGTGGTAGCGTGTGTCTCCCTCCCGATTGAAAAAGACAACCGCGTCCTCAGTTGCCAGCCCTTTCCATGTGCGCCTCCTTACCTCTGCACTTTACTTTCGCACCCCTCTGAGTCTCAGTGTGCTTTTCTCTTTCCTTCTAGTTGTAGAATTTCCACTCAGCCAGCCTTCCTGTGGTTCTGGATGATGTCCGTTTTGTCTTTTAGTTGTATTTTTGAAGTGGTTGTGCGAGGCAGCAATTTCAGGTGTTTGCCTATGCTGCCATCTTGGTTTCTCCGCGGATATACAATCTTGAGCGTATGGACTTAAGAGAGTAGAGCCAGCATATTTTTCTGATGGATAGAATATGAGTGTAAGAAAAAGAGAAGAGTCAATGATGATTTTTTAAAATATATTTTTATTTATTTCAGAGAGGAAGGGAGAGTGAGAGATAAAAACACCTATGATCAGAGAGAATCATTGATTGGCTGCCTCCTGCATGCCCCCTACTGGGGATTGAGCACACATGTGTCAACGCTCAGTCATTGAGCCATGTTGGCTGGGCTCAATGATGACTTTTATTTGAGCAGCAGGAAAAGTAGAGTGGCCATCAACTGTAATGGAAAGCTAAGAGCAAGTTGGAGGGTTATGCATTTTTGGTAAGGACACTACAGAAGTGATGTGGCCTTCTCGTGCCTCATATCAGGAACACAGAATGCCAACGTGTCTCACTGCTGGTGAGGCCCACCTTGGACACGTGGTTGAGGTGATATCTGCTGGGTTTCTCCATGGTGAAGTGACTATTTCTCCCTTTGTCATTAATAACAATGTTGAGGAAGACACTTTGAAACTATGCAGATATCCTGTTTCTCCTCAAACTTTGTTCTGTTGATTTTTTTGTTCTTTAGAGAGAGAGAAACTGAGAGAGAGAGAGAAATGTTGATGAGAGAGAAACATTGATTGGCTGCCTCGCACCCCCACCTGCAACTCAGGTATGTGCCCTCACTGGGAAATGGACTGGCGACTTCTTGGTGCATGGGATGACACTCAACCAACTGAGCCACATCGGCCGGTCCTCAAACTTAGTTCTAATGCTGACTTTCTGTTTCCCTCATTCATTCTACATTTATTAATTCTTACGGAATTAATAAATTTTGCAAGAAGGAATTGTCTGTGCTCTCTGTTTATTTACTCAGCTACTTTTTACATCAGTGTGGACTCATGGATACTTATTTTATTCTATGAATTATAACCAAATATTATCCTTATTTTGGTGCTCAACTTGTCCCATCTTTGGCCATTTTGAGAGTTCTTTTAGGGTGGCACCTGTGCCCTTTGAACATGCCCTATCCTTTTTTGAGAACTTTTATTTTTCTAGACACCAACAGATGATCTCGGTTCGGCTTGTGTTTTCCCTGCATAATTTCTATCCCTGGAATCGACCACTTCTTCAAGGAGCTCCTGTTCCTTTAATTGGAGAATGATATTTAGAAGCCAAGATCTGAGCAGTAGACTTTCTCACTGCTAGTAAGATCTCACTACTTGTAGGCTCTCTCAGTGGACAGAGCTCGTTATATGTGTCGCTGGTTCACTCCCGACTCTGATAGGAAAGGTCTTCAGGAGCCCTTGACAGAAGCAGGAAGGTGGTCTGCTTTTATGCTGCCCGAGGGAGAGGTGCCTGAGAATGAGTGGCTGAAGATCAGACCTGCAGCATGTTAATCAGATCATTTTATCTTCGAAGGCTAGAGTTGGGCAGGCCTGAGTTGCCAAAAGTATTGGCCATATTAATCCTAATTCTCAGGACCTCAGTCTTTTCCTTTGTAACATGTAAACATAATTCCAACCCTGTAAAATTATTCTAAGTTGCAGATAAACTATGTAAAGTACACAGCACATTAGTCATTTAGTGAGGGTTATCAAAGTAAGTTTTGGCCCTGGCCAGTGTGGTTCAGTTGGTTGGGTGTCATCCTGTGCCCTGAAAGTTGCTGGTTTGGTTCCCGGTCAGGGCATGTGCCGGGTTGGGGGTTGCAGGCTCAATCTCCAGTACATGGCGTGAGGGAGGCGGCCGATCAATGTCATGCTCTCACATTGATGTTTTTCTCTTCTCCCTTCCTCTCTCTCTAAAAATCAATAAACTATTTTTTTAAAGTAACTTTTGATTTCCATGAGAAAAAATAGATTTCTTACATCTTATGTATAATATACAAACATATCATGTTTTTTAAATCAACCAAATACATATCTGTGTGAGTTGCTGTGTGCATACGTGTACACACACAACTATTAGTAAGGTCGATACCTTTGAATCCAAAACTTGAATATAAAACAAATAATCGCCGAAACCGGTTTGGCTCAGTGGATAGAGCGTCGGCTTGTGGACTGAAAGGTCCCAGGTTCGATTCCGGTCAGGGGCATGTGCCTGGGTTGCGGGCACATCCCCAGTGGGAGATGTGCAGGAGGCAGCTGATCGATGTTCCTCTCTCATCGATGTTTCTAACTCTCTATCTCTCTCACTTCCTCTCTGTAAAAAATCAATAAAATATATTTAAAACAAAAACAACAACAACAAAAAAACAACCAAATAATCATACAGTTCTTGCCATCTGGGCAGTTTTTAATTTCTAATGTTTATTATATGTCTCTATATCTTTTTGGGAAAAATACTCATTCAGTCTTTTTTAAAATATATTTTTATTGATTTCAGAGGGGAAGGAAGAGGGAGAGAGAGATAGAAACATCAATGATGAGACACAATCATCGATCAGCTGCCTCCTGCATGCCCACTACTGGGGATCAGGACCTCAACGCGGGCATGTGCCCTGACCAGGAATCAAACCGTGACCTCCTGGTTCATAGGTTGATGCTCAACCACTGACCCACCCAGCTGGGCACACTCATTAAATCTTAAGGCTTTACGTATGCCTGTCTATTCCAGGAAACACTGGAGGAGGCAAGAGTGGGACTTCATGAGTATCTGGTCTTGAGGTATATCGCTTGCTGGCCTTTGTGGCATTTACTGGGGATTTATATTTATTCCACAAGAACAGCAGCTTAATAAAAAAAGAGGGCTGGTGTAGGTGTCAGGAAGCTAGATGCTAGTTCCCTCTGCAGTATTATTATTTAGCTGTGATTTGAGGCAGGTCTCTGAACCTCTGTTTGCTCTTTTATGAAATAACTAGAGGCCCAGTGCACAAAATTGTGCATGGGGGTGTGGGTGGGGGTGTCCGTCAGCCCAGCCTGTGCCCTCTCGCAATCTGGGACCCCTCGGGTAGGGTCCCTAGGCCTGGGCAGGCCTATTGGGCTTTCCTTCCCCCGGCTGCCGGCAGCTGGCCCCACCCCCACCGCTGCCACTGCTTGCCATCTGTGCAGCGCTGCCCACCCCCTCCCATGCTATCAGTCACCTCCGTCTGTGGGCGACAGGTGTGAGGTCCGATTGCTTGGCTGGCCTGGGCTTCCCTCTGCAGGGTGATCACTGGCTGCCCTGCACACCCGCCACAGCGTCACTGGCCAGTGGCCTGGGCCTCCCTCTGTGGGGCAATCGATCGCGGGGGTCCCCAGATCGATCGACCCAAAGAGCGAGGCCCCACCCACCCGACCGGGGCTCTGTGATTAGTCGCAGTGCAGAGGGTGGCTTGGGCCTCCTTCTTTGGGAAGATCAATCGCAGAGCCCCCACATCGATCGCCCCACAGAGGGTGACCTGGGGCAATTGTGGGGTGATGGCAGGGGCCCCCTGCCAATCGCATTGCACCTGCCTTGGCTGACCTGGTGTCAGTGCATGTCATAGTGTGGTCGTCCAGACGGTCGTTCTGCTGTTCGGTTGTTCAGTCAATTTGCATATTATGCCTTTATTATTATAGATTATTATAGATGAGGTTTGGCCTAAATACTTCTAAGATCCCATCTAGCTTTTTTTTGTAATATATTTTTTATTGATTTCAGAGAGGAAGTAAGAGGGAGAGAGAGATAGAAACATCCATGATGAGAGAATCATTGATCAGCTGCCTCCTGCCTGCCCCACACTGGGGATCAAACCTGCAACCCGGGCATGTGCCCTTGGCCGGAATTGAACCTAGGACCCTTCAGTCCACAGTCAGTCCACAGGCCGGCACTCTATCCACTAAGCCAAACTGGCTAGGGCTGGCTTTTTTTTTTTAACATGTTTTTATTGATTTTAGAGAACTACGGGATTGGAACCTCCAAGGGGGCCATGGCAGCCACAGCCCCTGAAGACCATCTGGGCTTCCTGTTCAGTTCTCAAAGGTGTTTAAGCATGAAGAGAAGTGAAACTTTAAGTAGAAACCCAAAAATGCCCAGATCTGGTTTCCTCTGCTGTCTGCTAGTTCCCTAAACACAGCCTCACTGTCGTATTTTAGCTCAAAGGAACACTTTTCAGATCCGAAAGAACTACTGAAGGAACGGAGACATTGAGGTCTGATTCCAGTGAAAACTGCTTTTTAGTAAGTGAGCTTTAAATGAATGTTCCTGAGAGTGAATGAACACTAGGTTTAAATCTTCTCTTAATTATGTTGCTACCATATTCTTGTTCCCATATTTATCTTAGACTGAAAAAAATTAAGGGAAGGGGCGATATTATGCAAGTATATATAATTGAATATGCAGTACAAGAAGGTATAACCCCCTGTCCAGCTGACTCAGTTGGTTGGAGTGTTTTCTCATACACCAAAAGGTTGTGGGTTCGATTCCCAGTCAGGGCACATACCTAGGTTGCATGTTTGATTCCTGGTCAGTGCGTGTACTGGAAGCAATTGATCGATGTTTTTCACATTGATGTTTCTCTTTCTCCCTCTCTTCCTTTCTAAAAATCAATAAAAACATATCCTCAGGTGAGGATTTAAAAAAAAGAAGAAGAAAAAAGGTATTGCTGCTACCTCAGTCACACATCGAGGCAAAAATAATAATTATTAACATTTGTTAGCACCTGCTTAGACTGATGCTGCACTTAGTATTTTGCATATGACATCTAAATAACTCCTTAGAACAGTGATGGCGAACCTATGACACGCGTGTCAGAGGTGACACGCGAACTCATTTTTGTGGTTGATTTTTCTTTGTTAAATGGCATTTAAATATATAAAATATCAAAAATATAAATCTTTGTTTTACTATGGTTGCAAAGATCAAAAAATTTCTATATGTGACACGGCACCAGAGTTAAGTTAGGGTTTTTCAAAATGCTGACACGCCGAGCTCAAAAGGTTTGCCATCACTGCCTTAGAGCAACTCTGTGAGGTAGGTTGTGGGATAATAGAAAATGTCAACCGTGGATAATGAAACCTATCTCGTAGAATTTTGTAATGATTAGTGTCTTGACTCCACCCAGCATGGCACTAGGGCAGGGTCCCAGGAACCTCCAGGTTCTGTGATTCACTGGAGGGTTCATGGGACTTGGCAGAGAGGCACAGCCATGATTTAGTTGAGCCAGAGAAAAATCAGCCGTGGAAGAAACGCATGGGACAAAATCCATAGGAAACCAGGTGCAGGCTTCCAAGAGTCCTCTCCCAGTGGCGTCACACAGGACACACTTAACTCCTCCAGCAAATAAAATGGTGCCAACCAGGGGAGCTCATTAGAAATTCAGTACCTAAAGTTTTTATTGGGGGGGTGGCCATGCAGGCCCCGTCTGTAGCACAGATCAGAATTCCAGAGTCACAGGCGAAGCAGGTGTGTAACATAAACCATATTATTTGCACAGAGTTTACACAGTGAGTCATCGTGAGGGAATGGCGGGCGTCTCTCACAACCCAAGCGCCCAGATGCCAGCCAAGAGCTAACCTTGTATGCAGGCCTTTCTAAGGACAGCAGTCTCAGGCCGCTGTGTTGACTCAAAGTGCATTTCCCTTTTTATTTTGAGAGATAGGAAAGCTGAGTCTCAACGTTTGGGTGGCTTTAATGAGGACACACAGCTAGCAGGTGGCCAGGCCAAGATCTGGGACCCAGGTGTCATGGAAGACGCTGAGAAGAAGCTGGGTGGGGCCAGGAGACCCTCTACAGGTCAGGCAGTGATGTCCAATAGAACCTTCTAGATCGGCACTGTCCACTACAGCAGCTGAGCACATGTCGCTACTGAGCACTTGGAATCACACTAGGATGAACTAAAAAAGTGTTGCATTTTAGATTTTATTTAATTTTGAATTTAAATTTAAATAGGTGCATGTGGTTAGTTGCTACCACACTGGACAGCACAGTATATCATAATGTAGTGAGTTTTTTTCTCAGGGGAAGTAGATGGGATAAATAGACTGTGACTCTTGTTCTAAACTACGGAATGCACTGATCTCTCCTCAGTGTACATGCAACAATGAAAACTAACATGTAACATTTGCACATTCCTTGCAAAACGTTTTTCATTTGCTTTTGCTTTTGTGTTTTTTGTGTGTGTTTTGTTTTGTTTTGGTTATTAAATAGGAAGGAATTTGCTCCTCTAAAAAACAAAGCTTTGAGGCGGGCCCTGCAGGGCATTCTGAGTCCCACCCGGTGAAGTGCTGGTGGGACTCCATTCCGCCTCTCGGGAGTGCTCAGGCCTCTGCTACTGGGAGATGGGTGTCCAGCAGGTCAAGGCTGACTTTCTACGCACTTGCACTTTCTCTGTCTGATTTTGGATGAAGTGCTCTGAGCAAATCACCAGAAGCCCAGGGAAGGGAAGAGACTTTAAGAACCTATATAGTTAGTTAGGTACCTGGGCCCCAGTCTCTCATGTTCATCCTAACCCCAGGGGTGATGTGGTCCCTGGCAGCACATGGGTAGGTCTGGTGAAGGCCAAAGAGAGCTCATGGGTTGGGATGTTGAAGAAGCGGGAGGGCTCTCCCAGGGGTTATGCAAACCAGTTTGGAGTGAATTAACCCAGTTAGAATCCTGGCTCCGCTGCCTTAAGGTATTTAAGAAGCTTCAGTATCCTCACCTGTGAGATGGAAGGATCACTGTGAAAACTACGTGGAAGCAGCCATAACATCGCCGCTGCCTCTGGGCTGCGACTGTTGTTATTGCCCGCAGGCCAGGCTGGGTGTGGGAGGCGGGAAACACAGAAGGCAAGACCTGGGTTGCCACTGACCTGGTACCACTTCCATTCCAGCAATTCCCCTTCTGTTTGATGTCTGTGAATATCACCCGCATCGCAATCCAGGCCTTAAGAGAGGAGTGTCTCTCCAGGTGAGTCCTCCCACTGCTCATCCCCCTGTCCCCTCCACCCCACCGGCTGATTAGAAGGACCCAGCAGAGCCTGGTTCCCTCCCTCCCTGCCTCATTCTCCCCAGCTTCCTTCCTCACCTGCTGGCTTCTGGGGGCACTAGGCAATGTCCATGTGCACCAGTACCCATCTGCCAGCCCCTCCCCAACCCTGAGTTCAGATGTGAAGGCTGCCTGGGGAATGGCTCCCCGGGAGGGTAGTGGGGAAGGGCACCCAGGTGCCAGCCTTTGTCCACCACCTCCCTTCCTGCAGGGAGTGTAATCGGCAGCAGAAGGTGATCCCAGTGGTGAACAGCTTCTATGCTGCCACTTTCCTCCACCTCGCTCATGTCTGGAAGACGCAGCAGAAGACCATCGCAGACTCGGGCTTTGTCCTCAAAGGTGTGCTCTTTCTTCTGGTGAGACCTACCTCTTCCAGGGCGTCCCGGGCTTAGGGATCTCAGGGTGGTGACTAGACTGGGCTTGGCTGCAGTTCCCTTCCAGCCCACCCTCTGGAGCCTGCTAGCTCTCCCTTCTCTGCCACCCCCTCCTCCCTTTCTGCCCTTATAACTGTGGTGATATTTTCTGAATCAAAAGCTGGGTCCAGCAGTGGACTGACTATTCAAAGTTGCAGTTGTCCTGGGCAAGGTAGAGTGTGTGGTCCCTTGATCCCCCTCCATGGTGAGCTCCCCATCTTAGAGGTCTCTTTCACCTCTCTCCATAGGACCCGGGCTGGGGGTACTCCCTAGAGCTGCTGGGCCCTGGACTGTGCATCCAAAGCCCCCTCGAGCCTTTTGTTCGCAATGCTCTCCGTTCCAGACTTGGAAGTGTTGGCCAAGAAGAGCCCACGGCGGCTGCTCAAGACCCTGGAGATCTACTTGGCTGGAGTGTCAAAGGGACAGACCTCCTTGCTGGGAGCACAGAAGTGCCGTGGGGCACCAGCCCCTCACTCCAAGGACCTCACTTTCACAGGCGTGTGTGACCTGCCACCACACTCATCCGAAGGCACGTGGCCGGTCTGACCACCGAGGCAAACCATATCCGGAACGCCTGGCTGGACCACGCCCCCTCCCATCTCAGCAGAAGGGACGTGGAAGCTCCCAGGCCTGGTCGGGGAAGCCAAGGACCCTCCTCCTATTGAGACACAGGGGCAGTCAGACTTGACGCACTCCGTACAGATCTGCGTCCTTTGCTGTCATCTGAGTTGGGTTCCAGGTCATCTCGGTGAGAGTGAATGGACTGTAAGGTGGGAGAGCCCCACCAGGATGTTCCACACACCCCCAGGTAGGGCTTTCAGACCCCTGGTGGCCATAGGACAGGGACCAGACAGGGACATAGAGTGTCTAGTTACACTATGAAGGGAGGTGGCAGTGGCAGCAGCCAACAGGGGGCAGCATGAACAAGAGCAAGACGCCTGAGGCCACAGCTGGGCCCGCCCTCCTCGCCTCTATCCACCAGGCCAGTAGAAGAACCCCTCTGGGGCTTCTGGCCTCCCATTTGTCCCATCTCTCCTCCCCGCTGTTTATGGGACAGAGCAGGGCCTCTGGCCCAGTCTCCACTGCTGCCCATCCTAACTGCCTGCCAGCCGGGCTTCCCGTGGGGGTTGTGTGGTGCCCATCACAGATGGTTTTCTAGCCTGGTTGGGGGAAGGAGGAAATCAGAAGTTATTGAATAAAAGAATTGTTCTGGGTTAAGGTTTCCATGTGTTTCCTCCAAGACAAGCCTTGTGCCTTCCCCGAGCCCCGCTAGAGCCCGGCACTCCTACCAGCTGAAGGCCCTGGCCAGGGCTCCCGGAGAGGGCGCTGTGCCCTCACCAAACTCCCACTGGGTTCACGTGACGTCCACCCTGCACTTCTGGGTCCAGAGACTCTTACACTCTAACCAGTGGGTAAGGTAAGATTGACTGGTGTGCCCTAGCCAGTTTGGCTCACTGTATCGAGCATTGGCCCATGGACTGAAGGATCCCGAGTTCAATTCCGGTCGAGGGCACGTACCTGGGCTGCAGGCTGAATCCCCGGCCTGGTCGGGTACATGCAGGAGGCAACCAATTGATGTGTCTCTCACATCGATGTTGCTCTGTGTCTCCCCCTTCCACTCTCTCTAAAAATCAATGGAAAAATATCCTTAGGTGAGGATTAACAACAAAAAAAGATGGACTGGTATGAAGTGCCCACACTGGTTTTTTCTGCATTTGTTTCTGGGGAAGCTGGCTGTTCCTTCATTCACAAAACAGCCTCCAGGCCAGGGAATCCTGACCTGGGGCGGGGGCCCCACTACACTGCTCTCCTGTACTCTGCCCTCCTTCAGGTAGAGCGTGGAAGACCCTGTCTAGCCCCTGCAGGCCTCTCCAAGGCTGACCCTCTGGAGGTGGGGTCATCACAGGGGTGGGGTTGTCAGCAGGATGCCTCGGGGGCGGGGCTGGCAATGGGCCCTGCAGTGTGCCTGTGTCATCTTTGCCCGACCCGAACTAATCCTTCCTCCAGTTCGGGCTTAGCTGACCCTCAGAGATGCAGGGAGATGGGTGGGTGGGAATGCAGAAGGGCCGCAGCCCAGCCTCCACTTCGGTGTCAGGTTCCTTCCACCTGCGCTGAGACCAGGCTTCTCGGCAGACCTGATGCATGCTCAGTCTGATCACTGCCAGGGCCCGGCCAAGTGGGCCTCTCAGGTGCCCTCTTCCCGCACCCTCCCTGGGCAACACCCTCCAGACAGCGGAGCGCTCACAGCAGTAACAGTCCAGGGACCAAGCTCTGGTGATGGACTGTTTGGAGTGGGGCTGGTGCGGGGGAAGGGGGGGGCCAATGTTAGTCTCTAAAAACTCTGAAAGTAGATGGATGCAAAGCCCTAGCCAGTTTGGCTCAGTGGATAGAGCGTTGGCCTGCAGATCGAAGGGTCTCAGGTTCGATTCTGGGCAAGGGCATGTACCTCAGTATCAGGCTCCTCCCTGGCCCAGGCCCTGGTCAGGGCTCATGCAGGAGGTAACCAATCGATGTGTTTCTCTCACATTGATATTGCTTTTTGTCCTTCCCTCTCTCTTCCACTCTCTCTAAAAATCAATAAAATATTCTTGGGTGAGAATTTAAAATAAATAAAAATTTTAAAAAATAGATACAAAAATCTTAATCTGCAGTTTTTGGCAGGGAAAGGCCTGCCTAGGCCTTTCATGGGAGACTTAATATGCTTCACAACCCTAAAGGTGTGAGAACTACAGGTTTGGTGCAGCCCCTAACTCCCCCTTTTAAAAATCATCCCTGAAGCTTCCGGTCAAGATAGCAGAATAGTGCCCTTTAAAAAACGCCCCCTGGTACTGCTCTGTGTCGGCTGTCAGGTGGACGACTGTGCAGAGAAAGGCAGATATCCAGGGAGCTGATTTTTTATGCCTCTTGGCACAAAATCAACAAGATGAACTTGATTAGAATTTCTATTTAGACTGGAAAGAGCAAGTATGTCAGCTCAGAAGCCACACAGCCCCGAGGGCCCAGGGGTGACCTTGGGTCAGCACAGACATGCCCGGCCAGGCCTCGCACTCTGGTCTAGGCTCACACTGCCCTGCCTCGCTCGTCCCCCTGGGTCATGTGCTCAGGATGGGACTGCTTTGAGGCAACTCCATTCTCCCCTTGTTTAGCGATCTAGCCTCTTTGATATTCCAGCCACCACCTATTACGCAAGAGCATGAACTCAGGGGCCCTGGTAACACGTGACGCAATGTGCCGTGAAGTGACAAGCCAGACTTCTGCCCAGGAGGGAAAGTTGTGCTGTTGCCTGGCGAGCATGCGTCATTTGGAAGCAGTGGCTTATTAGGGCAGCTGAGGAAATGCTGGCTCGGATGGAGAGGCAGCCCCAGCCAATTGCCACAACCTTCTCCCAGTTGGGAACGTGAGACTGATCTGAAGCCTCTGGCTGCAAGTGATCCTGAGCCTGGCGCTGTGCCACCTCCCGATTGGGTTCACAGCAGTACCTGCCAGGCCCACTGGGACTCCTGGCCCCTCTGCCTTAATCCTGCAAAGCCAGTGCTGGCCCCTCGGAGGGGAGAAAGTGTCCCCTGGATCCCACTCCACCCCAGCATGGGAATGAGCCCGGGTGAGCAGGTGGGGCGGGGAGAGTGAGCCCGGGGCAGCAGTGCAGGCGGAGAGCGGGGAAAGCACTTGTCTCCTTTATTGAACATCTGCAGGGCACCTCCGCACTGACCGGGCAGCAGGAGGAAGAACAAGCAGGCAGCGGGGTGCGCAGCAAGACGGCCCTCTCACTTCCAGTTCTTGAAGAATTGCTTGAAGATGAGACTTTCACGGCCCTGGGGCAGGATCTCCACCTGCAGGGACAGCAGAGGGAGACTTGCTCACAGGGATGCCATCTCTGCCTCCGCCAGGGAAGGACGGGGCCAGGGAGGGGGGGGAGGGGCTGGGCACCAGGACTCAGCCCACTTGCTGTCCAGGCCAAGGATGCTCCCCCAAGGTGATAAGAGCTGAGGAAGATTACAGGTCACAGCTGAGGAGACAGACTGCTCCCAGGACGTAGGAAACAGTTTGCGAGACGCGCCAATTACAGATGAGCCTTATCAGCTCCCCGTGAAATGGCTGTAGAGTCACCACGCTGGGGTGAGAAGGGGTGGTACCAGCTTGGGACAGTGGCCCAGAAGTACACAAGCTGTTCAGAGGTTCACCTGCTCCCAGGGGAGTGCTGCCCAGCACCCTCTTGGAAAATCACATTTACTTTAAGTTTTTCAAGGATTGAGAAGAGCTTCCCTGCTGGGTGGGTCTGGTAGGGAGGCCGGGCTGTCCCTCACTGCCCGAGACTTTCCTGCCCTTCTTGTCCCATCTGAATGGCAGCAGGTCAAGGGAGGTGTCCCAGGCGGAGGGTCAGGGTCACGGAGTCTCCTCACCTGCGTGTTTGGGGCGTACCGCATGCGGGAGATGAAGCCCTCGGCCACTTGGAGGGCCGCCTGCCGCTCCTTCTCATTAGCTTTTCGCCCTGGACCACAGGAAGGAGAGGTTGCAAAAGATCAGGAACCCTCTCTAGCCCACACGTTTTTCTTGAGGAAATTTCAGGGGGCACCCAGAATAGCTGGCAACTGTAAAAATAAATGGGCCAGCCCTAGCCGGTTTGGCTCAGTGGATAGAGCGTCGGCCTGTGGACTGAAGGGTGCCGGGTTCGATTCCGGTCAGGGGCATATGCCCGGGTTTGATCCCCAGTAGGAAGCATGCAGGAGGCAGGTGATCAATGATTCTCTCTCATCATTGATGTTTCTATCTCTCCCCTCTCCCTTCCTCTCTGAAATCAATAAAAATATATTTAATAAATAAATAAATGGGCCAGGAGGTGATAAGATTGCTGAGCTCTCTGGAGGTATGAAGTCAGTCCCTTGAGGCTTCTCCCAGCCTGGCAGCTGAGCCAGATGAAAAATGCCCTTCTGCCCACTCATGAACACTCCATCAGACCGAGGGACATTCATGGCGTTAAAGCCATGGCCCCACCCCAGGCCCCAGGCCTCCTGAGACTGCCATGTTCTGTTATCACGCCTTCACTGTACAGCCGACTAGGACAAAGGGTGTGACTGACCCCAGTCTCACTCCCATAATGCCAGCTAGCCGACACAGGCCTAGCAGTGATGCCAACTAAGAGCATAAGAAGGAAGGCCCCAGAGCCATCCATTCTCTCCTAGCGGCAGTCCCGTAACACAAGTGGGCTCCAGCTTAAGGCATATCCCAGGGCAACAATATTGTCAACGGTGGTTGGCTCTCCAGTGCTAAAGACAAACAGACCCAAATGGAATCCCTTGTGGTAAACCCCACGGGACTCAGTGCCTAGCCTCACTGCAGTGCCCGCCTCTCCCAGGAGTGGAATCTGAAATCCATCGTCCGGAATTTCCTGGTGAGCACTAGTGAGGCATCTGCCTGATAAGGTCCCCCCCACCTCCTCCCCTGCCCCCAGAGAAGGTGCCCTGGTCTGGAATAATCCACTCTTCTCACTTCCTTGTCCCCCGAGAGAAGCCTTCCATCTGCACAGCGCCTCTCGGTACCCTTCTGTTTACTGGACAGGAAGCAGCCTGATTCGCGATCTTTACATCGACTGCGTTGAATTTCATTCATTAACACTGTAACTGCAGAACCAGCAAGCTGGCCTTACCCTCATTCTAACAAGATACATACTGGGGTCAACAAAACAAACTCATTAAGTCATGCGGCCGAGGCACGCACAGGAGAGAATTTTGATCTATAACAACACCCAGAACCAAAGTTTCACACCCAACTTCCTGGAACCAAAAAGCTGAGACTTGACCGGAACTTGATCATCTGAGTCCTTTCAGAATCTAAGGGTCTGTCGTCCAGAACGATCCGGCGCTGAAACCCTCCGATTGAAACCTGCCCGGCCAGCCCTCCTCGCGCCAGACTGTTCTCCCTTATGCTACCCCCGCCCCCCAACTCTCGATCTGGGAGGCAGTTTGAGTTGCTTCCTATCTCCTTGCTGGTTGACTTCCCAATAAATCTTTTTTTTCTTTTCTCAAAAGTCAGTGCTGCCCTGGCCGGTGTGGCTCAGTTGGTTGAGCGTGAACTGAAAAGTCACGGGTTCGATTCCCAGTCAGGCCACATACCGGTTTGTGGTTCGATCCCAGGCTGGGGTGCATACGGGAGGCAACCAATCTGATCAATGTTTCTCTCACATTGCTGTTTCACTCTCTCCCTCTCCCTTCCTCTC